CAGAAAATTCTCAAAAAATGTAATGTAATTATAAACAACATATGCATCAAATCATTTACTAAAGTTCATAATTTTAAGAATTAAAACAAGACAAAAACAAATTTCTTTACCTCTCTAAAATCATAAACATCATTATCAGGATCAGGGGGTTTCCGAATAAAGAAATCACAATCAAACAAACAAATCTTATGAAACTCCTCTTCATTAATCCGATAATCAACCACCAAATCAGAATCCCTTTCTTGAGTATTAACAAAATTCTTACTCTGAACAACCTGAATAACCTCATCATCATTCATCCCAACAGAAGAGACAACCCCAAGTGGTTCATATTCAACATCGAAATCCTTCTTGTTATCGACTTCCTCCACCTCCTCATCGTCCATTTCGTAGTCATCTCCTCCGCCATCGGCGTCGCCGTCATCGGAGAAAACCCGAAAGTCGCGGAGTTTGAGAGGGGTGAAGAGGGGTTTTGGGGAGAGGAGAGAGAAAGTGGTGGTGGGGGGAGGAGAGAGAGTGGAGAGTGGGAGGAATGGAGGTTTTGGAGGGAGGAATTTGGTGGGAAGAAGAAGGAAGGTGGATGTCATGGTGAGAGTTTGAGAGGTTTTAGGAGGGGATAAGCAAGAGAGTTGGAGTGTCAAATTTAGGAGTACTTTCAAAATGGGTCATTTGGTGTCTTTTTTATTTGGATAAATCTAATCAACGGGGTATGAAGCCTTAACTAATACGCACTATTATTAAAGCAAATAAAAAGGACAGCATCCTCTCGTAAATTGGTGAGCCCTGTGAACCACGCTATTTATGTACCTTGTAAATAGTGCAGTGTTGAAAGGTGGAGTCTAAATGTTGTATCTGCTGCACCAGTCGTGTATGACAGATATCCCCATCACTCCGCAAAAAAGTGACAAGAGTATAAGAATCTGTAAATATCAAAGGTGGCTGAATATTATGATTTGATGCCCATTATAATGCATACAAACAAGTTTGGGCTTCCGAATGGAGAGATGAAGTGCATAACCCAAAATTACTCCCTCTAATAATTTTCTCGTAGAGAGGATCTGTATTATTCAGACACTAACTCATTCTTGCTTGTGATGTGTCTTTGCACCACACGGCCTCTATCTGAATTTGAACCAAGTTCAAACTTGTGAGATTTTTTCCTGAATGGGCTACATAAAACCTCAGCGAGGGGCAAACCCTTGTGAGTAGAAGAAGAGGGGAAGCTTCTATAGCAGCATCCTCATCCATAAAGATAACATGAGATTGTAGGATGTCAAAAATTTATAATCCAATTGGTTGTGTGATAGGCATATTAGGATTGAACACCCTGTTGCTAAATAACCAAAGAGTACCAACGATGGTGCTAATGTTGGGACTCAAAATCCCATCATAACTAATGATTTGGATATAATCTTGAATCCAATATGAGAGAGAAAGGTATCCATGAACTTGTGAGTGGATGGCCAAACTGCCATCCTTCCATGTTGTTCTTACAATATTGCAATCCCTAAACAAATGGTTAAAACCTTCGACATATGTACTACAAAGGTCACGTGACACTTTTGGAATTGATACCTCCTTTGCTGAATTTAGGGATGTTCATTTCGGCTCAAATCAGTTCAGTTTAGTTCAGTTCAGCTCAGCTCCAATCAGTTCTGTTCAGTTGATAAGCTCCAATCAGTTCAGTTCAGTTCAGCTCCTAATTTTCCTCTATCATAAAATATTCATTTCAAATCTATTCAGTTCAGTTCGCTTCAGCTCCAATCAGTTCAGTAAATATGAACAAGCCCTTAGACCTGGTTCTTTTCGCCGAACTTTTGAAATTAATTTTTATGAGCTAAAATTATTTTTACTAATTCTCAATCATATTTTTTTTTTAAGTTATTAAATTTTAACGAATAAAAATATTTATTTTTACTAAATTGAAATTAACTTTGCTGAACTAAACTTTTTTTTTACTGAAGTTAAACTATTTTAAGTTATTTATTATTTTAAGGTGAAGATAACATGACTTTATAATAAATAATAAATATAATAATAATAATAATAATAATAATAATAATAATAATTGTATATTCTGTAATATTTAGAGGTGTCAAAGGTCGTTCAGTACGGCTTTGTACAATTTGAATCATAATGTTATATTGTTTTTTAAAACTTTTTTTATATAGAGAGGCATAGTGGTAATGATTTAGACGAAATTTGATCATATATCGTGACTACCACCCTTTAGGAATCTAGCAAGCTAATTTAATTGATCATCCATATGTGGATTCATAAATAAGTTATAATGTATTTGGGTCTATTCACATACAAGGACATATTTAGACTTTCAATTGGGGTGCTACTCGTACAAGTTCAATCAATATTGGGTAGCATATTGTAAGAAATAAAATCAACTACATGTATAATTGATTGTAGACTTTGTTGTCAAGTAGGTTAGATTAGTTGAATTGATTCAGGCTACTTTTGACTTTCGAATACTGTTTAAGTTACTAGTGAGTCATTTTAGTTGGGCCAACTTGGATATTAAAAGCAATGTGTTAAGGTAAATTATATTTTATTTTATTTTATTTTTTTTACCAATACACTGTCTTAATAATATTGTAAATTGTGTAAACATAGGGCCTGTTCCGATTGACTGAACTCAGCTGAACTGAACCGAACTGAACTGAACTTATTAATTAGCGATTTTTAACTACGGATTAATGATCTTTGATTATTTATTGATTATTTATTACTATACATATGTGTATATACAAATGTACATAATAATAATAATAATAATAATAATAATAATAATATTATTATTATTATTAATTATTGATGATTATTATTATTATTATTTATTGATTATTATTATTATTATTATTATTATTATTATTATTGTTGTTGTTGTTATTATTATTATTATTTATTGATTATTATTATTATTATTTATTGATTATTATTATTAGTATTATTATTTCAATTATTATTGTTATTATTATTATTATTTATTGATTATTATTATTATTATTTATTACTTATTGATTATTATTATTATTGTTGTTGTTATTATTATTATTATTATTGTTGTTGTTGTTGTTGTTGTCGTTGTAATAAAGAATGAAATTTGGCTTTATATCATTAGCAATATCATAAGACGTAAATTAAGAGTTGAACTGAACTGAACTAAACTAAACTGAATTGAACTGAATTTCAACGGAAGAGAACAGGCCCATAGTTGGGTATCGATTTTAGACATGAAATGCTGTATTTCAAAGTTTAGAAAGACTTTAATTTAGCATGATAATCTAATATAAATTATGCATATAACAAAAAGAAATTTTGCAATCGAATGAGTTAAGAAACAACGTCATGTAATTTTCTTTTTCTTTCTCTCTCTCTTTTTTTTTTTAATCAAGAGTGAACTTTTGATTAATGTAAGTCTAATAATTAGTGACCCCTATGTCTCTATGTGTTTGTCTTGTTGCATTTTTGTGAGTTAAATTTAAAAACTTTGATTTCAAATTATCACCAATCTATTATAAATTGTTAAAAAAAAATCTTGTGGGATCTTTTTAAATTAATTTTAATGTCAACTTTTAGGATGTCAAAGTTTTATAAATTATACATAAGTCAATTTGGAGATATTTACATATTAAGACGTGTCTTTAAAAATTGTGAAAAGTATAATAATGAGTCAAACAGATGAGGACAATGGGAGTAGTAAACTACGACTAAAGGTTGGTTTCATGCTATATGCATCCTTTGTTTTAGGGGTGTTGGGTAAACTAATTATTTGATAACCGAAAAGAATTACAAGAACAATACAATTACAAATAGAGCTAGCAAATTTGAACTTGCAACCTAATGTATAAATTCCCTCAATCTTAAGTTCTTAACCACAAAGAAATGTCTCATTGGTTGTTCCTAAATAGTATGCACTTTGTATTTGCTTGTTTGTTTTATAAAACAAATTAAAACATGAGATAATGTCATTACTTTTCAAGTGGTGTGTTTTTGGCATGTATTAAGCTACCTAAATTTTATCTTTAAATATTTATTTTATAATATTAACTCTATAATAAACACGGAGCATAATTATATGTGTTAATAATAGTATAAATATAGGTTATGTTGAAGTGTAAATTTCTCAAAACAACAAATGTAAGTGTCCTACATTAAGAAAATAAGAGAAAGTGTCCTATATATTTTTTTTTTTGGGGGGGGGACTATTCCTCTTATTGGCGTATGGTTTTGTAATGGAACCTCATTGGACTTGTGATTTGGTCCAATATTATGGGTAACTCGCATATGAGGGGAGCTGAGTGGGGGAATATTGAGCCCATAAACAAATCCACACGTATGAGCAAAATAAGTCACTTCAACAAAAATAAGATTTGTGACTTCACTCAAATTTTTAATAACTATATTTTACATATAATAAGATAATAATCTTTTAAAAACAATAGTAATCTTTCCTTAGGGTAATAATACATTTTAAAGGATCCAATGTGATGTAATTGATAGTTTCTTTCTATGGTTGATTTTTTTTTGCTGTATTTTATTCCTTTTCAATTGGTATAATGTAAAATTTAAAATTCCAATGTAGAACTACATCTTTAGTTTCTTTTTATTGTTGATTTTTTTTAACCCTTTTTTAAAAAATTTGTGGTGGATTTGGATAAAATACAGTGCAATTTTGTAAGAAAAAGTTGGCAAAATTTGGATTAGATAGATTTCAATTTGTGATCACAAAAGATATTAAATAAACAAGGAATAATAAAAGTTATTTATTAAAAAAATAAGAATAAAAGTTAAGATATATTAATCACAATGTGAAACATGAAAGAGTTACACAAAAATTCTAAATAGCTAAATAATAATCCAAAATACCCTCAAATGTTTAAAATTATATGTAAGAAAACTAATAGATAAAAAACCTTCAAATAAATCTGTTAAACAAAACCGACTAATAAAACCGTTTAATAAAAACAAGCTCAATAACCTTGGATAGCAAAGCACAAAAAATACAGAATTTTGACCTAAAGTATAAAGAAAACAAATCGAAAAAGACATTTAATACAAACAAGTAATAAAGATTGTGATTAGATATTAATGGACACCAAATGATCCAAAACCAAAATGAAGTGGTAAGATACTCTATATTCTATTCTTATGCATTGCCACAAAATTAGCCTTTCATCACTCCTCTCCCTTTTGCTATCATCACATTGACCCATAACTTTTACCCTAAAACCTCTTTAACCAAAAAACCATGTTCCATAATCCAAATTCTCCCCTAATCTTCTTTGATTAACCCCATTAATCAAATCCCAAATTACCCCAAAAAATACCATTATTTTTCTTTCTTTCTTCTTCTTCCAAATCTCAAATTCTCTTCACTCATATTTTTGCATCAAATTTTTTTTGGGTAAATTTTTTTTAAAAAAAAAACACAAACATAAAAATTAGATTTGAGAAGAAGATTAAGAGAGAGGAAAGAAAAAACTCACACACAGTATGGTAAAGCGCAGCCATCGAACGGAAGAAGGATGAAGATGACAACAACAACGTTTCTTCCCGGTTAAAAAATAAATAAAAAAAAACCTCTTTTTTTTTTCTTCTTCGAAACGTTTCGTATATCCCGCCATTGTTACCTTCTTCCATTTTCTCTCTCCTCTCTCTTCTTCCTTTGTTCTTCATTCTTCAACCAATTCGATCTTCTTCGGTTTCGATTTCGATTTCCTCGGTTTTGATTCTTCGGTTTGATTTGGAGTGGTGAATTCTAGGGTTTATAAATGGTGGAAGGAGGAATTGCCGGAGAATCGTCGAATTCGGCGTCGAGAGGGCCGTCGGCGTGCGCGAAAATCGGTGACCGGACTAGGTTTACGGTGGAGCTGAGACCTGGTGAGACTACCATTGTTTCATGGAAGAAGCTTATGAAAGATGCTGCTAAGACTGATGGTTCCTCTTCTTCCGCCGCTGCCGCCGCCGCTCCTGCTGCTCCTGCTGCTACCGTTCCTGTCGCTGCTGTTGCGGCTGCTGCGAGTGGTGCGGTTGCCGCTACCGCGGCTGCTGTTGCCGCTCCTACGGGACCAAATAATTCGCTTACCGCGCTCGAGTCTCGCCTTGCTCCGGTATAATTAGCATTGTTGTGTTATTAGTCTTGTGAATTTCCAGTGTTGGGAGTTTGATTTCGTTTTTATTTTATTTTATTTGGATTAGAAATTAGAATGCCGTGTAATGTTGCTCAATTGAAGTTAGTTTTATGTGTTTTTGTTGATTGTTGTTTTCAAAGGTTTCGAGCAATGAATTTCAGATTGTTGTTTGTGTTGGTTATTATTGTAGACTAATGTTAATTGGCAATTGAATTCAGTTTTTGCGAGATGTAAACGATTAGAGATATAGTGATACCGGATTGTGATCGAATTTTAAATTAGGCATATTTTGTTGAGTTCATTATTCTTGAGCTGTTTGTATTAGCCGAGTAGCCAGTGTTGGGTTTAATATTAGGATTTCCGCTTGTATTTATTTGAAATCACTTGAAATTATAGTGCAAGTATATCTAAGTGTGATCTGTTGTTGGATGTGTGTTAATTACATAGTACATTGTTTATTGTTGATCTTCAATTCATTCGATTAGCTATTTTTGACTTTAATTTTTCAGCTGACAAGTGTGGCATGTTTATATCACCAAAACGGAAGAAGAGGGGGGGGGGGGTAGAGGCCTCCATTCTTATAAAACAGGGTCATTTATCATCTGACATTAATGATATTTTCTCCCTTTTGTTTAGATAGATCAAAGAGTTTTTGGGATATTACTTTTTATTTTGCCATATCAGTCATCACAGTAACCGTAGCTAGATTTGCTTTAGTTCATTGTGTTCATGTTCTTCTACATATTCCTCGAGTAGACATTATATAGTCAATCATTTGTATTTGATTGTGTGCAAATGATGTGTTGAGGTTTTGATTGAAAAAGTATGCTCCTTGATCTTTGAAAATAAATAAGAACAGCTTTTGGATGTGAGGATTTTGACCCTTCATGTTGAAACATTGCACTTTAATTTTGGCTTAATTACTTGGTTATTTACTTTGGAAAGATTTCTTTTCTCCGTGCTGATTTGTCGTAGTTCCTATTTTTATTTAGCCAAGAGTAAATAGATTCTGGGAGTTTATCTTCTTTGTTGAAATTTAGAGATTTAAGTAGTAACATATGTTAAGATGTTGTTTGCTTCTCACAATTGTAGGGACAACCTGCTGCAAATGATATGAATGATGCACCTGCTCCTAATCGTTTCAGTGCCGTTATTGAGAAGATTGAGCGTCTGTATACGGTGAGAACATTTTATTGATTAATGGAGTGATAGGCTTTCATGTTAAGTGTTTTCTTGGAAATTTTCTCCTCTTTGTCAAAAACTAATAACAGGCTAGTTGGTCCTTTGTCTTGAAGGTTGTTTCTGTTTTTTTATTTTTTTAACGGTTGAACTTACCTTCTCAGGGCAAGGATAGTGATGATGAAGATCTTGATGACATTCCAGATGACGATCAATATGATACCGAAGATTCATTTATTGATGATGCTGAACTGGTTGGTACTTGTATCTGTACTGAATTGTGTGGAGACATTTGGCTTTGTTTCTGTCCTTTTAGTTTGTTTGCCTTTGAACTTTGGAGTTGTTTGCCTCTGCTATGACTTAATTTGAGATCAAAATTTTGACGATCACTGTTGGCAGTGGTTATATCTTTATATGAATTAAATCTGCTTGTCCATATTATTGTTCAGGATGAGTACTTCGAAGTTGACAAGTCAAAGACTAAGCATGATGGTTACTTTGTGAATCGGGGTACACTGGAGAAAGTGTAAGTACTTAATTGTTTACCATTCATTGTATTGTCTTTATGCTCTGACTGTGCTCCTGCTGAGAGTATAACAGAAAAATATGAATTTTTTTTCATCATAATTGTTAAGTTGAAAGAATTTTGTTCGACATTTGGAGCCCTTTTGTTATAGCTTTTGTTTGTTGTGCGGCTGTGCCCTTGTTAAATGTTTCTCTTAGCCAATCTCCCTCCCCCCTCTCTTTGTCCAAAAAAAGTCTATGTTTTTATATATAATTTTTAATTTTTTAATATTTTATCATCTTCAAAAGAAAAGTAACTGCTCTTCCCTTGTTTAAGATTTGAAGTTCCTTTTTTTCTTCAAATTGGAAATCTCTATCTATTTTGTTTTCTTACCTAAAATTACACTGACTCAACTTCTAAGTATGGCCTAATATTTCATATTTTTATTTGATGTTTCTTCCTTTAACCTAGAATTGAGCCAGTGGAATCAGTTAGTCAGCAGCCAAAGAAGAGGAGGAGGAAGGAAGTAGCAAAGGCTCCTGGGGATAATCATGATGGTCAGGGTGCCATTAAGCCCATGAAAGTGGGTAAAAAGGGTGCTGGCAAGTCTGCCTCATCAGCTGACAAGGGCGTTTTGCCTACATCGCAATGTCCTTCATTGAAGAGCTCTGAAGACATGAAATTTCAGAACATTCTGAAAAACATTGCTGACAGTAAATCTTTGTTTGATCCTTATGCATCTTTGAGGACTTCACATGGTGATACATCATCAGCTTTAGCAGAGAACAGTGACAAGCAAAAGACTGGGATAATGGGAAAAAATTCTAGTGGCAAGCTGAGAGAGGCTAGCGAAAATGGCGATAAATCCGAATTTATACATAAAAGTCAATCCCTTAAGCCAAACCATGTTGAGGAATCTGATTTAGCTGCACAGCCAAAGGATAAGATTGGCATGCGTGAAAGGATAGACCTTAATCTTCCTGACAATAAGCAGACTATACAGCCTATGGTAAGCAGATGCCCTTTACTTTGATGGGCTCTACTCTTGTGATTTAAGATGTTGCTTACATTTTGTTGCCTTCTGAGTTCATTTTGTAAGCTTGAAAGTATGTCATAATGACATCTGATTTGCAGAATTTGGCATTATTTTCTCTCTGAAGTTTTGTATTGCATTTCCTTGTCATATTCTCTATTAAATTTGTTAAGAACACAAATAAGGCTATTATCTTTGTTAAGTAAAAGTCAAAACTCAAGAGTCATACATTTTGTGTGTACACAACAGCAATATGTATTGTTGTTGGCTTTGTAATGGTATCGTTACAACCTCTATAATATAAAATAACTCTTGGTTGTATTTATTTACTCCCTTTGTTCTAGTTATAGGGTCATGCTTGTGTGTGTGTGTGTGTGTGTGTGTGAGTTTTAAAAGAAAGATGTTTTATATTCTAGGATGGATGGGGTACTTATAGTATGTCATAACTAAAGGATGAATACGATAAATATTAATGAGTTTTCTTTGTAAGCTCAAAAGTAACTGCCATAGTTAATTAATTCCAATCCTTTTGTCTGTGTATCCTGAGTAAATTATCTTGTCCTATGTGACTTGACTGTAGAGTTTTTCGTCTGCTTTCTTGATGATTTCTCCTTCCTCTAAGCGGGGTTGTAATTGGTCTGCTTTTGCCGTAAATTTTGGGAGATGCAATCATACTATGTTTGTGAACTTGGCATTAATAGTTAAGACTAACTAAAGGTGTATAAGTATATGGATTCTTCAATTTTACCATGTTTGTTTATGGGTTGAGAAAACAATAAAAAGTATAAATGTAGAACTGTGGAAATCTTATTGTTAAAAATGGGTAATATAGTGTTCTTTTCAAAATCGATGGAAAAATTATTGAAAACTGTGGAAACTTATAATACTCGTGGTTTTACTTGCAATGTCAATATTTTCCCTCATCAAACAAACCACACAAAGAAAGCTAAGTAAACATTTCCTTTAATTTCAGTTGCCAAACAAATAAAACTTGTTATCTAAAATGTTTGCTTTTCTACATATTTCCGTACTTTTACTTTTCCATAGATTTACTCATTTATAAAGTTTCCGAACACTATTAATGTTAATCATTCAACCTGAGTTTACCGTTTCTGTATTTGTTTCGCTGCCTTCCTTCTTTGGTAGCTTTCAATGATGCATAATTGTCATTAATGTCCATCTGCTTGGAGCTCTATGCAATGTGTGATGGCTAACGGCAGTGTGAAAAGGCTTGCAAATCCTGTAGTTTATATTATTAACTGTTATGATGTTATGACACAGCTGTGTTAGTATCCAGTGATTTTATAACTTATTAGTTCTAAAATGTGTAAAACATTCTGTGTAGGATCATTGTAACTATACATTTTCACATAGGAAACATTTGCCTTGCTTTGTCTAGTCGCATACATATGCCTCTCACCTTATGCTTAGCTTTTGGAACCTTGTCACCTCTGTGCACTTCATGCCTTATAAAACACTGGTTAATGGGTTTTAATTATATTTTATTTTCTCAATGATGCTCTGTTTTCAGTTGTCTTATAGATGGTGTTTACCAAAAAATTCTGTTTCCGCACATTTACATTAACTATTGACTTTTCTTGTTATAGATTTTTTCCCCCCTAGTTGTTTATGCCTGTTAAATTCATTCCATAATCCTGGTTCTGGAGTTGGACTTCTGGTCAATCTATCCTTGATGAAAAGATTGTAGTAATGACCGCATCAATTAAGGGCTTACATAAGACTATAAGAGTGCATTTGACTTTTCTGATGGCTAGATTCCTCCTGTCACTTCATCCAATTCTTGCCTTTTGGTTTAAAGTTCTTTTCTATTATTACATATAGGCTTTCTCCCTTTTCTTCTTAGGTGGTTTATTCATTGCACAAAACTGCAGGTTCTTTGGATTGCTATGTATGTTTTTGCAGTAATCAGTATTTTGACTTGATTTTTCATATGCAGAAAATTTCTGTTTTGCATAAAAAGGAAGGTTCTAGTGTTAAGCCCAAAGCTAATGTGTTGGAGAAGGCCGTCAGAGAACTGGAAAAGGCAGTTGCAGAATGTGAGGACCATGCTTTCTTGGCATTGGTTCATCGATACTGATATCTGATAACAATTGCTGTATCTTTTTTATAGGCCCGATTGTAATTTTGTTTCTCCAACCTTGCAGCGAGACCACCAGCTCCAGATGCTCAAGATGCTGACTCATCAGGGCAGTCTGTCAAAAGAAGATTGCCTCGAGAAATCAAGCAGCGGCTTGCCAAAGTCTCTAGACTTGCTGTATGTGAACATAATCTGGATTGGAACCTCTTTTTGTATATCTTCTGGTTTTTATCTTTATTTTTCTTACATCTTTGTATATAAAAATTAAAGCAATCTGCTCATGGTTTTGCAGCATGCAAACAATGGTAAGGTGTCAAAGGAACTCCTGAACCGTCTTATGGATAGTTTGGGGCATTTAATTCAGCTCAGAACCTTAAAGGTAACTGTTCAATAGTAGTTACTGATCTGAGCTTTGACATGTTTGTTGATGAGACGTTATAAGCTACCCAAGCTGCAATCTCCATTTGACATGTTCAAGACGCTTCCTCTTCTAGTATTCTTCTTCTTATGTGATGAAAATTTTACCAAGTGTGATTCTTACTGCTGTTCTGTTTTATGATAATAGAACTGTGAGGGTTTCACTATTTGTGAACAATTGTGACATATTATAACTATCTGCTTACAGCTGATATTATGATCTGTCATCTTGGATAAGATAGAAAACTGGTTGGTTATCTCTTAGTTATTGGTCTTCTTGCTGCTGATGGATGTATCTGATTGGTTACTTCTTAGTTATAGTTGAATGAGCTTGAGTCTAATGTGCAGTGGTTTTATATCATTTTAAAATATCTCTTTTGTATTAATTGACAGAGGCACCTAAAACTAATGATGACCATGAGCTTGTCTGCGAAACAAGAGAAAGATGACAAGTTCCAACAAACAAAGAAGGAGGTTGTTGAAATGATTAAAACTCGTATTCCGTCCCTGATGTCTAAGGTACGCACATCCATGCACTTTTATGTTATCTCTTAAATAGATTTTTGTGGAAGGCCGTTGTACCTTTAGAAAGTATTTTCTTTGTAAGATTTAAATAATACTTTCTTCTGTAAGCTTCCTATTCTGTTCTGAGTTTGTAGGACTATAAACTTTATGACCTGGTGGACTAGTAGCTTTAATAGATTAAAGTGTTGGTGTTTGGCTGTTTGCCAAACCTAAGATAGTGATTTGTTCCTTTTCTTTTATAAGGATAACTATCTAAGGTTTTTGTGGAAAGTTGTTGCTCCTTTTGAAAACATCTAATAAACATGCTCTTTTGGTGCACACATCTAATAAATTTGTAAGATATAGATGAAACTTTTCTTCTGTAGTCTTCCTATTTTGTTTGGTGTGTACTGTGTAGGACTATAGTTTCTATGACCTGGTGTACTGGTAACTGTTATTGATTAATGTGTTGGTGTTTGTCAAACCTAAAAACGGGGATTGTTCTTTATCATTTAAAAGGATAACTATCTAAGGCTTTTGTGGAAGGCTGTTGCCTTTCGAATAAACATATTCTATTAAATCTGTAGTAATACATAAACTTCTCCTGTAATCTCCCTCTTCTGCTTCGGGTAATCGGGTGTGTAAAATTATAGGCTTTACTACCTGGTGGATTAGTAGCTTTAATAGATTAATGTGTTGGTGTTTTCCAAACCTGAGAAAGAGATCTGTTCTTATTCTTTAAAAAGGATAGTTATTTGAAAATTTGTTAAAGAATTTTGGATTTAGATGAGTTAAGAGCTCAGATTCCATATGCTGCTGTGATATACTGGGTTTGGAGCTGTGATATACATGTCTGATACCAATAATATTCATGTTGCTGATGCAATGATTTGTTGAGGTAAGTCAAAGTTAAGATCCAATGTAGTATATGTTTATCTGCTTTATGGTAACTGATACAACAAAGTGTTGTATTGAAGATCCTGCTGAGGGCAGGGTCCTGGGTAGGGAAAGATGCCTGTAGGAATAGGTCTGTTTCTGAAATACTTGCAATGATCTTGGTCTAATACTTTGAAAGAACATGATTACTTCCTGTAGCTCATTACATTTGTCTTGTTTAAAAAAAAAACATTCAGAAGAGTTTAAGAGGATTAATAGTTAGAGATTAGGAGCTATGCTCTTTGCAGAGGGTATAATCTGAATTTACCAATGTTGCACCTATTTGCAGGCAGCTGAACAACAAGGTGGAGGATCGGGTGAATTTCAAGAGGGTGGTCTTTTAGAAAAGACAGGAAAAGGGCAGATTTGTATGGATGCTACATTGGAGGATAAGATTTGTGATCTCTATGATATTTTCGTTGATGTATGACCATCAATACTAAATTTCATTTAAGCAAATATATACCCAAAAAAAATAATAAATTATAAAAATGAACGATTTTCTTTTATAGTTTTTAATCTAGGATAAGTCATTTTTTTTCTTTAATCAGGGACTTGATGAAGATGCAACTCCTCAAGTCAGAAAATTATATGCTGAGGTATGCTACTATTTCATCGCTGTCCGTTTGTAGCATGCTATTGCTCGCCTCTATGGCTCCGCTTTCCTTTTTAATTTGTTTTTTCTATTGGTCATGTCATGTATGAGTTATTATTTCTTCAATGGTGCAATATGTTCTTACCTGGTGATTCTTGTATACCAAGGAGCCTGTATCATCACTCTAGAGAAAAATTAGACAATAAATATGCATGCAATATATTCTAACTTGATAGTCCATTTATCTTTTTAATCGGCTGCTCTTGCTAAACTTGTTGAGTTGTTGAAGTGATATAGTCCATCAAGCCTTTTAAAATCTTATGTGATAAATTCTCGGTTTGAGCATCACAGTATTCTAGGAGTGTTGCCAGCATTACTAAAGGCAATGCTGATATGACCAACAGCTTGCCTATCTCTGTGTATTTTTTTCTAGTCTTTTTTCCCCCTTCCTTGATTTAGAAAGCCGGTCACTTGTTTAATTTAATAGGTACTATCACTAATACATTAATAACCACTTATTCTTGAACAATTAAATATTACTTTTTTTTTTTAGAGTGCATCGGTTCGACCGGCATATAGTCTTAGGAAAGTAAGTTGAATGGAGTAAAATATTGTTATGTGGGGTCTCTTGGGGAATTAAAAGTTATACTCCAGGGATGTGAGAGGAGGGAACTAATTAAAAAAAAGTTTTAAGAGTGGGGACCATTTGAGGAGAAAGATATAATAAAAAATAAGGATGTCTAAAAAAAAGAAGTGATGCACTTAAAAAAACAGCCAGTATTGGAAAGTGATGCAATAAAGCTTTTATTTATAAGCCTTGGAGGCGCTTAAAATGGATGGAGTACTGTTTAATGTTTTGTATTGCAGTATCCCTGAGTTAGCTGATATGCATGAAGGAACCAAACTTTTTTTCTAATTTGATTCATAATCTGATGTAGCTGGGCCATTTATATAGAGTGCTTGCTCACAATATAAATTTTCTTTTTTGTTAACCATTGGAGATTTGTCTTAGAGATATTTATGAAGTAATGGTGCTATGGCACCGTTTCCAAATTTTACATATTGCTGCTCTTGGCAATCTGGGATTTGAGAGATTAGCTTATTTCAATGTTTCAAGGTGTTTGTTGACTTAGTTCTTAGTTGTTCATTGCTTTTTGAATTTCGCTTTTCAATTGCTAGTCAATTGTGGCATCTACCTGTTTTCTGCAGAAACACTTCATAGCCATGACTTTTGTTACTCTTTACTTTATTCTGTTGTTTGTTTCAGTGGCATTACTTGCATTGCATCTTTTTCTTTTTTTCTTTTTTTTTAAAAGATAAATTGATATTCATTGTTTCATTATTTAGCTTGCTGAACTATGGCCTAAAGGAGTCATGGACAATCATGGGATCAAGCGTGCTATCTGTCGAGCAAAAGAACGGAAGAGGGCACTGAATGAGAAGAATAAGGTGGGGATGATCTCTGAGTATTATATGTACATCTACTGAGCTTTGGATGTCAGCAAGGGTTGCTTACTACAATCTGTTGTTTCTTATGGTCTTCTATTTGCTTGTTTTCTGGTGTGGACAGTAGTGTCTATTGTTTTTTTTCACTTACACAGGGCATATTATTTTCAGTTTAGTGGTGATGTGGGGTTAGAGACTACATGGTACATGTTAATCAGTTCATGTGTGGAATTTTAATTGATAGCAATCACAGCATGGTTGTGCTATTTGAAACAAGGTTCTTGACCTCTGTAGTTTAGATACATTTTTTTCTTTGTTCTTTTTGGCTTGCCTAGAAGATTGTCCTAGGTGTCTTTTCCATTTGAAACTCTTATTGCCTGAACTTTTACTTAGACATAATTTGTCTTCATGCTACTCTCAGGGTTTGTTGTGTTTATTCTTTATGTGATAAGGTCTTCATCTCTTCTTTTTTGTTCTGCTTGATTTTGTTTTCCTATGGTAGCTGTTTGTGATAATCTTATTTAAAGTTTGATCTAGTAATCTTTTCTGTGATGATTTTTCAATATCAGGGTAGCTTTAACAAAGTGCAATTTGTCGAATCATTTTTCTTTCTCTAGTGTTATTATTTATCGTGATTTTACTTTATTTATGAGTTTGATTTATTGGGGTTGGAGAAAGGAGGAGTTCTACTTGTATAACAGTCAATTACTTCTTTTCATTAGGTTATTTTTATATCACTTTATCAAATATTACTTCCTGAACTATTTTGCTCCCTCTCTTCATCTGTAATGCTGTTCTTTCTAGGATCTTTTGTGAAGTTCCTTTTGAGCGGCCTACTGATGAAGAGAATGAAAACCAAGAGAGTGTAAACAAACCTTGTACTCCCTTTACTTTGGATCAGTCATTAGCTCATGGCACTAAGTATTGCACATAGTCAAGACTTTAAGACAATATAGGTTGTGGGAATGAGTTATGACTTTATAAAATAAAGTGGGATTATCAGAGCATTTATATGGCGTGAAAAGGGATATTGGGACTTGATAATATAAATTTGAGTTGGTGGAGCAATTTTAGAGGGCTAGGTGGGTAATGGTCTGATTATCGGTGCGGCGTGGCACGCCGAAAAATGGGATCAGTTTCCCCTCCCAAAGCTGTGTATCTACCATTTTCCTTCAAGTGAGTTAACCCGGGCCAGGCTGACTCTTACTCATGTTAAAGTATAAGCTTGCTTTTCCCTTGCTTTTCTGCTCTATAAAGGTATTTTTTACTAGTATGGAGCCACCTTCTGTGTACTGCATGCGAAAGTCCCGTTCTTTTGCTCGAATGTGACTCCTTTGGTTGGCCATTCACCTGTCGCACCGACTCGCAACCAGGTAGTGTCCAGGAGCTACCCGTTTCTCCTGGCTAGTACCCGCCTTTATATTGTGTGAAAATGAGAGTAGGATTTTATAATGTATAGTGAAGCTAGGAGCTATTTAATATTACTGGGTCCTTTCCCAATGATGAAGTGTTGTAGTCAATCAGAAGCGATTGATAAAGGTAAATGCTGTGATTTATCTGATATGGTAAGATTATGAATTTAAGATCTACACTTTCTTGGAATTGGCTTGATCTTTTTTAGGTTCAAACTCTTCTGACCACATGATTGGTGGTAGATCTTGTAGATGGCTGTGATCTTTATGGGTAAGGACCATGGTCTTGTTTTGATTAGTTCTTACTTCTTAGTCCCTACTACCGAAATTATTTATGTATTTTTCTCCAACCGATCACATTCGTATTTACCTTATCTAACATTGATTTGGAAGCTGTTTTGAAGACTGCCGCTTCAATGATGCAGCTATGATAGTTTGGCCTTTTTATATCTAGCAATTGCTGTCTTTAGATATCATTCTACTTCAATTTCTAGAGTATCTCAATAAAGTGCTTTAAAGATAAAAAGTCATTATTGATGTGCTAAGCTTGCCTCTCCCCATTCCGTGTACAAAAAAGGAAAAGACAACAATGCTTAACAAAATGAGTGATGGCAAGAAGCCAAGAAGTTTAAGTGGTTCAAACTTTTAAGTAGCATGGACACAAAATACTTAGTGATCCCTTTATTATGCTTTTGATGTGGTAGTTTCTGCACTTTTAGTTCTTTTTTTGAGTCTCCATTCAGGATTTGTTCCTTTTTTTTTTCTTCACCGCTGTCCATGGTACTTGGCTATTATTAGCTAATCTAGGAGAGTTTCCATTTTGGAGAATTGCCACAAAAGGTGTATGTGCTGCTTACTGTTAACTAATGTGAGACAAAAATGACTGTTAAGTTGATTAAGGGTATTATTCTAAGGAATTTTGTTATATAGAAAGTTGCCCTTAAATGAAAAGATAACATACCAAATTTGTTACTAAAATGTTTTATTGGAAGTGTAAGGAATATATAGGGTCATTCTTGCGTCTTATGCTATGTTACATGGACTCAGGTACCCTTGTCCGACACGGGTATGTCTCCAAGCGTCCGACTCGGCTATTTTGTAAAAAAAAAAATTCATAGTTTTGAACCAAAAGTGAAATATCCAAGTGTCATACCCATGTTCGAGTGTCGAGGGTCCAACATAGGAACTCTTATGTTTAATTATTACGTGACTCGTATATTTATTGCTGAACTTACAAAGTCTACAGAATACTTTGCATTTATATATGATTTTGCTTGATCTGTTAGGTTTTTAAAACTCGCATGATATGTAAATTATTGTTATGCATTCTTGTAAACACTGGTATGCATTTCCTCACAAAAAAAAAAAAAAAAAAAAAAAAAAAAAAAAAACATTGGTATGCATTCTAGTAAAATATTAGTGTTCTGATGTTCACTTGTATGTTAACTAATAACGTACATGCATAATAACATACGTGCATTTTTGCTAGGACCAGAGATCTGGCAATTTTTTCTATTTAATGGGGCCTAGAATCGGGTTCAGGGGTTTATTTGATATTGGACATGTTTATTTTCTGGAACTTATGTCCTCTTCTTAAATTAATGTGTGCCATTTCATATCTGGGGTACAAGGGTGTTTTCAGGTGCTTGGATTGATGTGGAGCATTAGTACTTTGCTCAAAAATAATCTTAAGTAGAAATATCTTTCCCTTTTTTTTTGGACTGCCGAGAATCTCCCTTTAGTCCGTATACCATGTTTGTTGGTATGTGGCAATAAAGCCAATAATTCTTGATAATGTTTTTTTTGGACTGCTGAGAATCTCCCTTTAGTCCTTATACCTTGTTTGGTATGTGGCAATACATTAGTTAACAATGAATTTGTTAGCATATTTGTAAGGAAAGTCGTATATCTATGACATGGTAATTCTAGTGTATTCCAATTTATTTATTTTCCATAATTTTTTCCGTTACCATCCAATTACTATGAACACTAGTTTGGGGATGGGTTTGCATTACTATGAACACTATACGTTTGGACAATACAATCTTTGCAAAATTTCACTTAATATCATTCTTTTCGCTTATTATGACTTTATGATCACCTATCTGATGTGTTGTTAATGTTCTAATCTTTGTTTTGGTAATTTATTTATTTATTTATATTTATTTTAGTTAGTATAAAGGAAGACTTAGTTGTCTCAAGTTTTCATTTCCTCACAAAAATCAGGTTTTACACTTGTATAAGTGCCAGCTGTAAGAGGCTATTGTATTTTCCTTTCTATATAAATGTTTGTTTAGGTATTTTTATTTTTACTACATGTATATTCCCGTGCCATGGTACTAGGGATATATGGTTTTGTGTGTGTGGTGAACTAGTTTACTTATTTCTCATGCTGGGCTGTATTTGTAGTCTGAATTCAAGCATTCAGATTGCGAATTGTTATGGATATTTGAGGTAGATACAAAAAGAAAGCATAAATGATGATCGAATGGAAATCTTTATTTGATATTCTGAATTAGAATTCCAGCCAACAACTCAACAAGTATGATCTTGGGAAATGTCCTGATAATGTGTAATTAGCTACTGTTTTGATCTGCCACTTTCGTTGTGTATTGATGGACCTTTGGGTGGATAATGTTGTGAGATCATCAAATAAAGTAGCAATTTGTTATAATTTGGACTGCTATTTCTATTTATAGTAATTCCATTTCAATTACTATGTAAAACTGCTTGTAATTGTGGCATTGGGCTCTTCCTTGGTTTCTCTTTTTGTGTCACTCCTCCCTTTATCCCACCCCATAGGCTTGTTAGTTTGTCTTTTGGGATCTCTTAATCAGTGGTGGATGCCCTTTTCTAATTTTTTTTTTTTCTTTTTTTTTTCTTTTTTTGTTTCTAAAGCATCAGCCTAGCCTGGTCATGTATTCTTAACTAAGTGTTAAATATTTAAAGTTTAAATGCTAACTTCCTTATGATAGTAAATTCTTAGGGATTGTGATTTTCATCTTTTAAGATACTCCATTGCCATTAAAAGGTATTGATCATCTGAGCTGGTTCCACATTGTCTCTCCTTTCGCCATTTGTACTTGATTTCTTCTGTAAAATGCTGCTTGAATCTGGTTAACCAATTCAGCTTATATGGTTGATTTTGATCCTCTCTCTCTCTCTTCTTTTATTTATTTATTTATTTTTGTTGGGGGGGGGGGTGGTTGTGGTTAAAAAAACTGTTTTGATTTATAATGTTTGCCTGATTGATCCAAGTTAGTTTACTTTAATCCAATTAGGCTGTTGTTTGTCATTGCGTTCATTTGATATGTTTTAAATTAATTTACTTTGACCCTATTTGCTTGTAATTAATGCTACTGAATAAAATTTGATCTTATTCAGTTGATTGTGATCCATTTGATCAAATATGGCTTAATTTAAATTGGTTTACATTGTTCTAATGAGGTTTGACTGATCCAAGTTAAATGATTGTATTTCTTGAAATATGAGAAACATTTTGTTGATGTTGTTTTGTAAAACTTTGTTGTTTGTAATGCTCCATTCTTATACTAGCTCTTTGTCACATAGTCTTGTTTAGCTTTGGTCCAAAAAGAAATAGGCTAGACTCCATTTTGATTACTCAAGGTGATCTTTTCATCCCCTTACTGATTCATTTTGCTCCGTGCTAGCTGAATTTAGTTACCCTTGCATTCTTGTTTTTGCTTTTACTTCAGTGCTTTTGTTGTTTTGGGTATATAGCTCATATTTTGACAAGAAATAGGTTAGCTTCCATTTTGATCACTCGTGGTGATCCTCTCATTCCCTTACTGATTCATTCTGCTCCGTGATAGCTTAATTTAATTACCCTTGTGTTTTTGTTTTTGCTTTTACTTCAGTTCTCTTGTTGTTTTTTGGTGAATACCTCATTTCACCATTATTTGTTTCTACTTGAACATGGAATTCATACCTGAGATAGTGAGATGATCAGCATCATTTGGATTGTGAGATTGTGCATTTACATTTTGTGGGTTTGTTATTGGCTTTAAACTTGTTTCAATTCATCCGATATGCTGCTGTGTGGGAATGTATTAAGTATTTTTTTTATAGTTTAACCTTGCATAGTCATGAGCAGTTATAATCTGAAGCCATATGCCATGATGATGACCTTTAACTATGAATTAATGAAATATTCTGCTCCTGTACTCTGCAGGACCAGGAGAAAATCAGGAGGAAAAAAGTGCTAGCTGCAAACACAGAAGAAACTGTTCGTGTTGAGTCTAGTTCAGCTGTTCAATCGCAGTTTGTGGACACGAAAATGGTCTCTGATCCCAGTATAGCTGTTGCAACTCAGCAAAATAGATTTTCCACTGTAACAAGTGTCGCACCTGCAACTACGACTGCAGTTAGCACAAGTATTGCCACTTCTGTGTCAATCCCCCCGACAAATGTGCCCAATTTTGAACGTTTGAAGCAAGAGAAAGTGAAGGTAACACAGAACAATTCTCTGATAGATGGTAGGATTGATATGGGTGTAAAGAAAAAGGTAAAGAAGAGGACGGAAAACCTGTTGGGAGAGATACCCTTGCGTTCTGAGAAGCTATCTTCTCATCAAGGCGATGATAGACAAAAACAGCCCAAACATGCTGCAACTGCTGGCCAACTCCAGAATTCTTCTCTTAAGTCAAGTTACGACGAGTTCCGGTTTGAACCACTGACGTGATCAATACATCATCATCGTGAACCTGCTTGTGTAACAAAGTTGATTTTTTTTATTTATTTTTTAAATCTTTATTTCTCATCTCGCCCCTGGCTCCATTTGTCTTCAGCAGGTGAGTTTAGCTTAGCCAGTTTTGTAATTAAATTTCCTTTTCCTTCTTTTAGAAGCTCATTTTTACAATTGAATAGAAAAAGTAGAGCTGTATGTCACCGGTAGCTGATAATCATTCATACATCCTTTCTGAATCGTCTCTCTTCCCTAGCTTTATACAGCCCGAAAGGGCGAGTTTAACCAGTTTCATCACTCTTTTGCAATACATCCATTAATTTGCTGTAGTTGTTGAGGTCTGAGTTTCTTATCGTTATGATTTCAAGATGAGACAAACTTTGATGGGAAGGTTTTTTTTTTTTTTTTTTTTTTTTTTTTCAAGTTAACACCCTCCTCCACTCTTCTTACCAACAATTATAAAACAATTTACACTATAAAGCTCAATCTTTAACATGAGGCAAACATAGTACTGAATTTGTTACTAACTGTACAACCCCGATTTAGTATGATTCAATAAATATTCGATTGGGAATTTTGGGGTGGAGAAATTAATCAATTACTGGTATGAGTGCAGTTGCACTTTGAATTACGATATGGATCATGATTCTCGAACACATTTACTATTTTCTTGCTAATTTATGCTTTGTATGTATTTGCTACTACATATGTTTATGAATTTAAACTACTCAAATGTTTGTAATTTTATAACTGTTCTCATTAAATATTTAAATATGAAATTATTGTTCATTACTCTGTACTTTTCAAGTATATACAATGAGCTTGCCTAGCTCCTCATAGTGGTAAACAAATTTGCTATGATAATATGATATTTTTATAAATAAATCAATCGACAATTTTATCCTATCACCATCAATTGTAGAGCCTATATTAATGGATTTTTTTAAAATTTATTTACAAAAATGTCATGTGATAAACAGGCACGGTCTCGACATTTTTTGGGCCCTAGGCGAAACAAGACATAAGGGCCATTTATTTTATTTTTTCTTTGTTTTTTTTTTCGCCACTTTAATTTAGTATACGAAGTATTTCGTATTCTACTCACATATTCTACTTTTTTCTTCATGAATATTTAAATAATATCAGTTTTACATAATTTTTATTTGATAATGATGTTTATAGTTGGAATCACAGAATGATCTTGGCAATGTAAATGATGCAAGTATATGATATTAAATTTTAAAGATAATAAACAAATTAAACAATAAATTAAAAAATAATAATTTATACCTAGATATCTCCTAAGTACACGTGTCATCACCATATAAAAAATTTTACCGCCAAAATAATTTTTTTTTTTTTTTAATATATAAGTTTGTTACTATATCTAAAGGTGAAGTTTTTGGCTTATATTTAGGGAGTGATATTTAACAATAATAATTTAAATAAAATTAAAAAAATAGTGATATTGAATAAAATGTTAGGTATTAAAGTACTATTTAGGATATCACCAAATGTTTTTTTTTTTTCAATTATCGACCAGAATAACATTGAGTACTTTATTAACAAGAAAAGAGTAGATTTTATATTACAAATACTAAAATCTTATTAATTCTTCTATCTCACATTAATTGTAAATCGTAATGTAATGTAGACATTGATATTAATCTAATGGTATATCACAATGTTTATTGTACTTTTTTATGTTTTTATTTGTACTTATAATAATTCGTTTTGTATAGTTTCTAATAAATAAATAGTAAAATATTATTGTAAATCCGTGCATAGCATGGATTTTGAACTAGTAATAATAATAAAACCAACCAAACAAACGGGACACATTTAAAAGTTAAAACTCATATCATAATTCATAAATGAAAAACAGGGGGAAACTAGGAAACAATGAGAAGGTGATTTAGGTGGCTTAATTAAGTTATAAAATTACCTTAATTTTCATTTTAAATTTCATATTTTTTTATTATAGGATGATTACGTTCATGCCTCAATTAAAACTAAATTTGTTCAACACTTTCGTCTAATATTGATTGAAGGAAAATTTTACTCAATATAAGTAAAAAAAATAATTTAAATTTTCCAAAATAATTTTTCGTGTGATTAGAAACTATTTCATGACAAATTTGAAGATTTTGTATCTGTTTATTCCCCCCTCTCAACCTCATTTGATATAAAATTTCACAAATGTGACTCAATTTTGAAAAATTTACTCTGATTAGGAATGACAATTGGATTGAAAATATTATAATTGAAATATGCGGATAAAAATCAAAGAAATGAATTTATATATTTGTAATTCACCTATTATCACGCCCAAACTTGATTGGGATCCTATTAGAAATGTTGATGGCACAAGTTTTCTGATTCACCTATCATTATCTTTCTGTACTACTTTTTTAACGATATCATAATTTTTTGATTTATTTTTTTGATTTATTTAATATGAGAAAGATAATGTAACAAGTAATATATCAGTAAACATAATTATATATGTCAATATTATTGCAAATTTACCATTTTTTATTAGTGAATTCAAATTAACCTAAAAACAAATTATATTAAAATTATTTATAAATTAACACATTACGTAAAACTATATATAGGGAACTAAGGGTCTTATTTTACTCATTATAACTTCCTTTGTTGTGTTTGTTCCAACTTATTTGTCTGTAAATTAAACATATTCACTCTATTGGATCTATTTGTTATATATTCTTGTTCTATACATTGATATCTTGAATTCATAACTGGTTCAAAGGATTAATTGTTAGGTTTGAAATTTGTTTGTTATCACATTAAGGAAACAAAAAGGAAATTATGGTTTTTAAGTGAAATCGGATGAGTTTTTGTGTGTGTAGGATTGGGTTGGCATAAGATATACTAAAGGTTATTCATTACAATAAAGATTCTATTCCAGTGGTTTAATGGGTTAAGGAATTTGGTATCATTCAATTTTTATTTTTATTTATTTATTTATTTATTTATTTATTTATTTATTTGTGGTTGGTTAGAACGAAAATCTCTTAGGTGAAAAAGTGTAACACAAATTAGTTGTGAGATTTTGTGATTATCCGTATAAAGGTAAAAATTTAGTTATTATAGTCAAATTAATTGTAGTTCGTCTCCTCACATTCTTTTTATTGTGATTACCTTGTAGGATTTTTGGCTAATATTTATTTAGACTTAGTATATGTTTTTTCATCAATAGTTAATAGATGAAGTTCTTATAACTCGAATTCTATGTTTTCCCGGCTCTTTTTACAAAATGATGGATGAAGTTATAGTTGAAAATTATTGGAATGATGAAAAATAAGATATAGAGAGAGATAATTCCATAAATCAACCTGCACGTGAGAAAGAGCGCACTTAAGAAAGATCGATCACTCAAAAATAGAGAAAGATTACTTAATAAAATCAATTCAATTAGTTTAGGGGAGAGAGACCACTTAAGGAAGATTTCTTACGAAAAATAGGGTAATTAGCTTAGGAGAGAGAAAAACCACTTTAAAAAAATAGGGCAATTAATTTATAGAATAGGTTTACTAAAATGTTTAAGAAATAGAAAGAACACTTACGAAAATTATAGCAATTTTTTAAAAAATACAAATGGCAACCTTATCTTATTATCGGTTTGCTATTAGCTATAATCATCTTTTTAAAATTGTCTATATATTATTCTACAATATTTGGTCAACCAGTATTTTTTCCAAAGCATAAATGAATAACATCACATAAATTCATAATTCGTGATTAATAAATAACTAATCAAATTTATACTATTCCTCTCTCGCCTCTTCCTCTTTCCCTCTCTAAACAACCCTAAAGGGGCTACCATCATCATCTCTTTGATGATGGTAAGCCCCAATTCTTTCTTTATCTCCTTTGTTTTTAGTTTTGTAGTCATTAATAATCCTCCTTGCTCTCTCTTTATGAGAGTTTTCTTCTCAATTTTTGGGTTTATTCTCTCTTATTGTGAGAGTTTAGTGTTTGGCTTTCTTATCTTCCCTTATGGAAGATTGGAATTTATTTTAGGGTTTTATTTGAAAGATTAAATTCATGGGTTGTTATTCATACAATTATCCAATTGGTGTTGGAATTGAGGATGCGATCGACATGGTCAAGTAATGAATTTTCCCAAAACTGTGTCAAGAAGATGGACTCCCTCACAGAAGGCTGCATATTAAGCGAACAATCGAGAACTGTACTTTATCGTCAAATTTAGTTTCTCATCATCATCATAGTTTCTTTAAAGAGGATTTTTACTTGATTAATTTAGATTATATTTTACTTTTCTATATTTCTTATTGTAGATGTCGTATGACTTTTAATTAATAATATTTTATCTTTTCCTTCACCAAAAAAAAAAAAAAAAAAAATTCAAATTTAGCATACTTTAGGTTACTTTTTTTCTCCCCTCAAAAAGATAAAAAATAAAAGGTTACTTTTTTTTTAATATGATGATCTAAATTACTCACATTCTAATATGATGATTTAAGTTACCTATTTCAAATATGATGATTTAGATTTTAATATTTTCCTTTTACAATGACTTTAATAATTTAAATGTATACAAAATTTAGACAATATGCAAACATAATTAACATGTAACAATACCATTGTATATATAATTTACGGACAATTGTCACCGGCATTGAGGGACCGCGCATGTAGCTCAAGGGGCCACAACTAGTATTGATAAGGAAAAAGGAAGCTTTGATGAGAGTGAAAAACGTTTGATTTTAAATAATAATAATAATAATAATAATAATAATAATAATTATTATTATTGGTGACACCTTAGTGGTAGGAAAGGTTTTGGATTTGATTTTGGCGAAAGGACCTCGTCTCGGACTCCATGTCAACGTTGAGAAAACAGAAGTATTCTGGCCCTCGGAGGACCCTCGTAGTCGTCTCGTCGGTGTCTTTCCTCCGGATATTGGTCGTCCTGTGCATGGTGTTAAGTTACTGGGTGGCCCCAGTGCTGATTCCTCTTTCTGTGGTGAGCTTGTTTCACAGAGAGTGTCGAAGACTGTTGTGCTACTGGATGCTGTTGCTAAGCTCGATGATCCCCAATGCGAGTTGTTGCTTCTTCGTGCGTGTGCTGGGGTTTCAAAACTCTACTTTGGTATGCGCACTTGTCCTCCTCGTCTTTTTGAAACAGCACAAGTTTCTTTTGACTTGGCCCTTCGAACTTCTTTGGAACGCATTGTAACAGCTTCGGGGCCTGGCTTTGGTGATTGGCAATGGCGACTTGCCACCTTACCTTTTTCTTA